GTTTATATTCAAGAAGAATATCTTTTTATATTGTTAAAGCCAATCAGAGACACATGTTTAGGTTTGGAATCTGAAATTGTTTCTCTATATTTAAGAAATAAATTGTACACCATATGTCATTTAGTAATTATTTCTTGCCTCAATATCCCCACCTCATAAAAAAGTACTAGAACTACATTTCTAATTTTACCTTAGAGACATGTTGAATGTTGAAAATCATGTTAACATCCTTCACATAGGAATGTGCAAAATATCTTTCTTTTTAGTACGACCCATCTTGAGTTAACTGGGTTGTTCCTATCTACTTCTATATTTTTTAAGCTCTGATTTTTATTTCCCATCTGCCAGTGTTCATCAGGAACTTTCATTAGTGATCTTTTTAGAAGGACTGTGAAGTTTGGAACACTGTTCTTGTGTTCAAAATCACGTTCTAGGGTTCCTGTAGGTCATTTTTTGGCTAACATTTTAATGTGCTAGGATTATTCAGATAACATATATAAAGGACTCCAGCTTTTAAGTTTTTATGATCAGTCATTTTTGGCAGTTTCAGACTAGCAGTAATATCTCTCAAGAGTAGGAAGTTACTTTGGCTTGACTTTCTAGGGTAGTTTTTAATCATCTAGTTTATTGACATCAGTTGATATGCACTGTATCTATATGTGTTTAGGAGTTATGTACATTCATTGATAGAAATAGTTTAACCTTCTCCAGTAGTAATGGCATGCCCATTAAGTATGTAAATAGATAGATAAATCCAAGGGTTCATTATTCATTTTTTAACATTAAAAAATTTTTTTTGAAGTGTAGCATAGAGTTAAATACCCAAATCCTAAGTAAACAGTTTAATTTTACATAATGAACACATCTGTATCAAGAACTAAATTAAACATTACCTGCACCCCAGGGGCCACCCACATAATTTCCTTTTAAAATATTTTCTCTAGTTATTAGCAATGGAAATACTTGAAAGGAGCTATTATTAATTTTTTTGAAAGGAGAGTGAACATGTAATTGTTTCTATTAATTCATATTTATAGCACTTAGCACAATAACTGTAATAATACTTCTTAATAGGTTTGTTGAATTTGTTGAATTTTTAGACTTACGTGGTTTCAGGATTAATTTTTTTAATGTTCCTATATTTGAAAAATGAGATTTAGAAATGTCTCCAGGAAATAACTTTCCTCTGATATTTTTATTGAGATACTTAATAAAATAAGTTGTTTAAGATTTGGATTACTCTTAAATATTGTCTGGTAAAGCATTATTATTTTATGTATAAAGGAAAGGAAGACCACAGTTATGTTATTTTCTTTGTCGTATCTACGAATATTCTTCCAATTGCATTCCCCAGGTATTCTTCCTGGCTTTTAAAATTATTCAAATAGGCCATTTATTCCCTTCACTAAGTGTGCACTATTAGTAAAATTTTTTGTGTTCTGTCATCAGTCTGAGATGATAAAGCAATGGTTTTTCTGTATTTCATACAGCACCAGGACTCTGCAAAGCATCTCTGGGGGTTCTTTGATGTCTAGACAGTTTAAATTATGCCTGCTCCCCTGCCTCCAAATTCCACCCCTGTTCTGCTTCAGGGGTTGTGGGAAATGAAAACAAACCAGAAGGGTTTCACAACGCTACAGTAAAAACAAACAAGTAGAGTAAGCTGTATATCTACCCTGGCAGGTGTATAGGAAAGGGCCCAATTATAGTGAATACTGGAAAGAACAGAATTGAGGACAAATACTGTTCTGCTTATTTATTTCTAATTATATTCCTAATATGGACATACATGTGCATTGTGGACAAAATGAAAACATTATAAAAGTATTAGGAAAGAGCATAGAAGCCACCTTTACCTTAGTCGCTCAATTTTTAAACACCCGACCAGCAGAGTTTAGTGTGTTTCTTGTACATTGTCCTATTATTGAAATGGTAAGATTCAGGATTGCATTTGAAGATGAAAACCTAACTTCTTATTCTTTCTTTTTTCCCCTTTTATAAATCGGGATATCATGATTCTTCCAATTCATCTTTTTAGAAAGTAAGTAACTTTTGAAATTCCAGATTTTTTAATTGATGTTTTATGATTACATATGTACACATACACATATACCTATTCTATTACAGAATTTTTAACTTTTAAATTCTGAGTGAGGTGATTAACCCTTATATTAAGTATGAATTTAAAAAATTTACATCAGTTAAAAAATAAGAAATGTTACACAGAAAGTGTTCTGTGCTAAGACTACATACTGTTAACACATATTTGCCTTATCTTCTTCATACCCACAGTAAATCATTGTTATTTATATGTATACATATTTGTATCTTTTAAAAATATTTATATATTTATTTATATCTTAAAGTAGGCCAAGGCATGCTTGCTAGTTCTAATTTTTCTGAAGTTAAAAATAATAAAAATCTAAATAGTACTTAATTCTTTATTCATGTTTTATAGCAGTTGATTAAGACATTAATTTGTTCAGGGAAAGCAGTCCAAATTTTCTAGACTTCATGGTATTGTTGAGATTAACAGCAATAAGTAAATGCTTTGAAAGATTTTTAAAATACATTTTCCTGTGTATATTCTGCATTAAATGAAACAGTTACCTTCTTATAAGCACTTAACTCTTTTGATGCTAACATTTTATTGTTTCTAAATAAAATGGGTCATATAACTAGTTTTTTTCTGTAAAGAATTGCAATTGATATGCTTCAGACTGAGTGATTAATAAGCCAGTGATTTGATTTGTAAAATTTGCATTTGATTGCAAAATGCTTTCTCATTCTTCTAAAATGCAAATGTTATATAGTTTTGAAATAAATTTTGTTTATTTGAGAAATATTTGGGGAAATTATAGTAGTTATTGAGACTTTTAGAGCTATGTTGTCATGTGATTGTGTATTATATACTTTTAAATATTTCTGTAGTGATTGTCATTTATGTTTGCAGCAAGCATAGCATTAAACTGCTATTTAATAGTCAGTTTACCTTCAATTATTTATTTACTATCCTTAAGAAAAAAATGTAAATTATAGTGATTTTTAATAAAAATATTTCTTTAGTATTTTTTAAGCTGTCTTTAAATCTGTATTTTTCTTTAATATTATAAATCTGAGTTCCTGGAATTGTATATATTAGGACCTTAGAACAAAGAGCAGGAAGAATGTGTGTGAGGTTTGGTGTTAGGTGGACAATTTCATTAAGTTGTATTTTTTAAAGTCTACAATGTTTTATTTTTATGTATCGGATTCTATTTTGCTTGTAGTGTTAACATCATCGTGCCAAGTCCCCACAGAAAGTCTGTGTTTCTGACAGTTTCACTAAATTAAAACTCCACAAATCTGGCATAATAATTCCCAGCTTTTTGTCTGTGCTTTTGCCTGAAGAGAATAGCGATTAAAAATATACTTTTTGCAGTGTTCACTATAACACGTGTAGCATTATTTATCTGGAATTTCTTCATGGACAGATATTTTTGGGGAGATGAATATATTTTACTTTATAAGGTATGCCTGGCCCACTTTAAGTATGAACAAAAAATCTTATGTGAGGAAAAATAATGAAATAAGGCTGCAAGCTTGTAGAAGTTTCATGAGGAAAGATATTACATAAACACACAATATTATAACCATGTGTACTTCAGTGTTATAGATGCATTGTTCTATGACCAAATTTATATTAGATCTTTTGCTTCCTGTCAAACCCAATGGAATTATATTGATGTGTTGGCACAGAGAGTTGCTTTCTAAAATAATAAAGAGTACTCTTATTATTATAATGCTTATAAACCTTTATGACCATGATGCGTATGTATGCGGACTTGCTATTAAGTGTGTTGTGACAACTCAGCCAATTTAGTTTTCATTTTCCTGGTGAGTTTTCATACTAAGTAAGAGATTTGTTAATCTTGGTTTTTAGAAAACTTCTAATTCAGTACATAAAATTATGTTTCTACCACAGAAATTCAAACTTTAAAATCTTAAAGATTCTCTTGTCCTAGAATGTTTTGAATTAAGTACTCAGACCCCCTACAAGGCGAATGGAGTGGAATAGAGATTCTAATCAATATTGACTCAACCAAATATTGATCTTTTAGCATATTAGAGAGAAAAATGTATGTGGAAACATAAGTAAAGGAAAGTAATAATTCTAGCTCTAAATTGTAGTTCACAAAGATAGCAGTATTTCCTACCTCCAGAAAATACATACATTTCATAAACATCTTTTTATATGTATGAGTAAATTTCAGTAATGTTTGTACATATGTGCTTTGATATTTTTAATCACTAGCTTAATGCTGTTTGATTTCTTTAAAAAAAAAATCTGTTGATTTCATAATTCAGTCACTTGCATCTTTACTACAGAACATAATTATTGACTGGGCAGAATTCCCAAGCACATATTTCTTTATATGACAAATCTGAGAAAAGGATGTCATTGTTGAAGTTGTGTCAGAGATATAAACATAGATATAAATTTTTATTTGGCCTTATGAGAAATGCAATCCTATGAGTAACTTAAATACTTGTAATTTCAAATCAGTTCTTCCCTGGTTTCTTATTATTCCTTTGTTGCTTTTCAACCTATAGGATGGAGCTGTCCTTGAACTTGGTTTATTTGATCATTCAAGTGCAACCATCAAGTTGTCTGTAATATTTAAATACTGAGGCTTCATGGTATTATTTGTAAAATAACACCACATAAACATTTGGGCCTTGGTTTCTTTGAAATGTAGTGTTGGTTGCTTTATGAATAAAAGCATAATTTCAATTCAGGAGACTTTTTGCCCGAAGCCTATAATACAGATGCATCTGATTAACTTTGGCGAAACTAGACTGCCCTGTTATTGTAATGTAGATGTTTTCAGGGTTGGGAGGATATTTTTAAAAGGCCTGTGAGAGGGTCTTTTTTTTTTTTTTTAAGAGACTGAGAGAACAGTTTTGCCACAGAAACTGCATATCAGACTGCTTCATTTTTGCACACTTTTATTTTCTAGTGGAACTTCTCCATTAGCCTGTCTGAATGCAATGCTTCACACTAACACTCGAATAGGGGATGGAACATTCTTCAAAATCCCTGGAAAGTCAGGCCTCTATGCTCTCAAAGTAAGTTGGATTGTTCTGCATATTATGTCTGTTATTACTATGTATCACACATTTTTTTTTCCTGACATGTGAAGGTAAACAAAAGTAGATTTGGGTTAAGGGTAGAAGAATGACCCTTATGCCTTTTAAATGTTTTCAGATGTCTTAAAAATGATTTCATGTTAAGAATAAACAGTGACATTTTTCTTTAAGGAAAGAAAGCATATCTGTGGTTTCACTCTAACATATGGTAATGGAAAATAGCTGTGGCTTTCTTCAAATTCATGATTCTTAAAAATTTATAGGGAGGAGTGCCATGACTCATCAGCTAAGAGCTTAAGATGATCACAGTTGCCACAAACTATATGACCCAATAACCATCGGTTGATATACAGCTTCACACCTGTCTGCCTTTCTGTCTTTAATAAATAAGAAATTTATCTGTTCTCCTTGAAAACTTGCTGATTTAAATCAATTATTCAACTTTAAAACAGTGAACTCAAGTTTTACTAACAATGCATATTTATTATATGAGAAGCATAGAGAAATAAAAAGCTTTAGATAACTGAGTTTTAATTATTTTAGTGCAATTCCCATTTGCATCTAGAACGGGAAATGGCATCTGAGATGCAAAATTCTAGAGGACAAGTTGATGATCTGCAGATGATTGTGTAACTTGGAACAAATAAAATCATTGTATTATTTCTTATAAATTAAAAATAAGTTACTGCTTTAATAAATGATGGATTACACTTTAAGTTCATTAATTTCCTTCGAGAAGTTTTTTTTTTGTTGTTTTTTTGTTTTGTTTTTGTTTTGTTTTGTTTTAATGCTAAGTTATACCTGGCAAAGAAGCAAAGGTTCTTTCTCAGCTACTAAGCATCAGGCTTTTGTCACTGTGTGGGTTTCTGAGGATAACATAGGTTGATCAAACGGACTCATATTAGTTCAGTTGCTTTTTGTAGCTATTGGGTGTTTAAAATTCTTGAGTTGTGAAGCCATTTCCTAACATAAAGAAGAATGTAGAATTGAAAAAAAAAATTAAAACAACCTAAGTCGAAAGGAACGTTTGTTTTTGTATAGATTTTTTTCTTTTTTTTCTTTTTAAAAAATTTTATTAGCTTCAAGTAACAGTACATTGGTTAGACATTTATATAGTTTATAGAATGATCCCCTAAAAATGTAAATCAGTATTGAAATTCCAAATTACAAGTACCTGCAATAATACTTTAGGATCCTGAAAGTATCTTGAATGTTTCCAGTTACTAATATATCTCCATAAATCATTTTTAAAAATAATATAGAAAGAGGAGTCGTCATGCCCAGCTGATGGGATGCTGGATTTAGGCTGTGAGTCTGAATTGGATGGCACAGAAATGGCGGAGGCCAATGCCAGTGAAGGAAATGGAGGTGAGTGCGATGAGTTTCAATATAAACCCTGTTCTCCTAAAAGTTATACAGAATTCCGGTAATTCACTAATTGAATTTTCTGTCCCTGTAGGTGCAATTTTCTTCTAAGTTTTTATCACTTATTGAGATTTATCCTCAAACAATTTTGATTAATAAAGTTAGCACCTAAGAAAAGTATACAATTCTTTGCTTTTTGTTTTGTTTATTTATTTTTAACAATATGGATTTTCCTGGATAATATTCTTGAGTATTATCTGTATATTTCTCTTGCAAGGTGAGAGGGTTACTGGGGGATATCTGGTGGTTTTATTCTTATGTGAAGCCTGAGCATGCTAATGTTTTATGTCTGATTATACTGATATTTCCTGTGATCACAGTAGTTTTACAATATCTTTGTTCCTAGGCTCGTCCACAGTAAATTAAGCTTAGTGTTAACATTCCTCACAGTGGAACTAGGGCCAAATAAATTATATTCTTGTGAAACACTTTTGAAAAGTGAACAACCCTGCCAGAATTCTAAGGGGGCATTTTCTACCTCTGAGTTCTATCCATGTTAATTCATTTTATCTGTCTCTAGGCATTTGCATTATGATTCTGTTGATATATGTAATTTTTGTACTGCAGTCTTGGAAAAATTGTTCCACAAAAGCTGCTATACTTTTTTTTACCACCCTACCGCTGGTCCCACAAGTGGACCCAGATCATGATTTGGGAGGAAGACTGGATCATTAAGGTCCCTGTTGGTGGACTCATAGAAATCAGTAAATTATCCTTAAACAAACAAACCTTAAAGAATCCTTGCAGAAACATCGTAATTCACTAATAGCCCAAAGCCATTCATTTTATTAATGGCAATAGGAGTCCCTTTGTATACTGAGTGGACACTCTTGCCTTTTAAACTGGCGTGCTTTCTGATACTCCCCCTGAGACTGATTCTGCTTCAGTGCCTATCTAATCTGCAGGAGAGGTTGTGAATTAATGTAGGAAACACAGATTCTTGTCCTACTAAAATGGCTAAAGTCGACCTTGTAGACTTTTTTTTAAACCAACTTTCACTGAATTTGATCTCTAATTCCTATACCTTTTGAAAACTCAGCTCAACCCGCACCACCGCGATTGTACTGTGAACTTTGGCAGATCCTTGTGGTTAGGCAGAGAACAATGCAGAGCTGCATGGCAATTTCTGGCATTCTGGAAGGGCTGGTGAATAGAGCAAGCTTTTCTCCTTCAGTGGGATGAAGGGGAATCTTATTGGGTCATTTCTCTGTTGTACAGTCTGTTTGCATGAGCACTTTCATGCTTTCTCTCTAAGTATATATTGAGCTTCTACTGTGTGCCAAGCACTGTAGGGCCAGATTGTATAGTTCCTTGACATTGGCTTTTTGTTTTGAGTAAGATTTTTAAACCAATGTAGGGTTTTGAGCTAAAGAGGCAGTGATCTCACTTAGATTTTAGCAGGATCAAGTAGTTACAATATATATAGATACAGATATATAGATATAGATATTAATATAGATATATAGGAGAACAAGGATAAAAACAGGGAAACTGATTAGAAAGTTATTGCCATAATATAGATAAGAGATGATAGTGGTTTGAACAAAACAAGTAGCAGCGGATGAGACGATAAGTGATTGAATTCTGGATTATATATGAAGGTAGAGCCAACAGGAACTGCTGAAGTTTGTATGATTATGAAATAAAGAAAAGTTAGAGATGACTCTAGAGTTTGAGTGTGAGCAGAGAGAATAGCATTGTTTTTAACTTAGATGGCAAATCTGCAAGAGAATCAGATTGGGGTAGGGGTTGTTGATCAGAAGCTTAGTTTGGGCATGTTAAGTATGAGGTTCATTTTCAAAATCCAGGTGGATATGTTAAATAATTGGGCTTATCTGTCTTAAATTCATTGGCAAGACCTTGCTGGAGAATATATATATATACATATATACATATAATATATATATAATACACACACACACACACACACACACACACATATATATATTTTTTTGAAAGTAGTCAGTTAAATGTAAAGAAGAACTAATATCTTTTTTTTTTAATAGTCAGTTTATAGATGATATTTGCAGATGGGAAACTGAATGAGATCATCAAGAAACGGAAGGTTTATAGAAAAGAGAAGAGGCCCAAAGACTGAGCTCAGTGGTACCTGAATTTTAAGAAGTTGGAAAGAGCAAAAGAGATTGAGGATAAATGGACATGAGAACAGGTTGTCTGTTCTGGAAACCAAGTAAAGAAAATGTTTCTGGGGAGGAAGTGATTCAAATGTGTCAAATGCTTTTGATGTCGACTTATAATAAAGACTAAGAAATAACTATTGGATTTAGCTTTGTGAAGTTGTTGATGAACTTGACAAGGATGATTTTGTTGAATGGTGAGACCACAAGCCAGAATGGAATGGGTTTGAGAAAATGGGAGGATAAAAAGTGGAGACCCTAAGTGTAAACAGTTCTTTCAAGAATTTTTGAGGGAAAGGGATGGAGTGAAATGGGAAAAATGGATAGAAGAGAAAGTAGAACCAAGATAAAGATTTTTTTTTAATATGAGAGATAAATATTAAAATAATTGTATACTGATGGGAAAATCCAATTGAGGAGGAGAATTCGATAATAAGAGATGGGCCTTATTTAGAAGTTTGGAGAGGTACTTTAAGGAAAGAGTAGGAAAAGTCAGGGTGTTTGGATAAAAACGAAGATAGTTGAGTATATGTAGGAGGGGCTTATGGAGGTTTGCTTATTTGTGCTTAATTTTTTTCAGTGTAATAAAAAGCTTTATTAGCCGAGGGAGAGGATAGGGGAGGTAAGTTTTATAGATTTAAAGAGAAGATATAAAATGTCTAGAGTCTGACAGCATTAAGCACACTCTTAAGGTTGCTAATCCTGAATTTAATGAGACCAGTCGGCATGGCTGTACATTTTTCTCCAGTCATGTTCATGACCACTGTGCAAGTGCAGAGTAGATACAGGTGGATTTGACCAGAGTTGAGATTTTGCCAGGTGTGAATGATGAAGTGACAGAGGAACAAGGGAGTTGAGAGTGCATGAAATAGAGTAGTTAAGATCAATCTCTATGGAATTTAAGCTGGTTGTGAAAGTGGGCGAAGACACAGTGTGTGAGAGAGGGTGTGAAGGAGGAGGTCTCCTTGGGGTGGAAGGATTGTTTGATTTGATGTTCTAGAGAAAATGAGTTAGAAGAATTGGTGATAGGAGAGTGGAATGCATGAAATTAAGTTTAGCATAATATTATGGAATGTATGTCTGAAATGAGAGGCGAGGAGGCAGCTAGGTTTAAGGCTGTTGCAAATGGTTAGGCAGTGTGTGCACTCTGCAGAGTGGCCTGGCCCAGGGGGCCATCGGTGGCTGAAATTCAGCAGCCCTCCATTTGCCCAGCTTAGTGTCATGGGAGGGAACAGGGTCTATTGGAAAGAAACATTGCCTTTTCTTATTTGCATGAAGATGTCATAAAAGCTAGCGGTGGCCCTGGCATAAAATTGAAAAAGACAATTATGATAGAACTAGCATTGAAAGGGTATGACATTTAGGAGCTAAAATTTTTGTAAAATGGGGAAGAGTCCCCCAGGTGTTGTTAGATAATTACAGTAAGGAGAATTGGCTGGTTCTATAGTCTGATGACATGAGATACAATGCTGGAGGCATCTGAGGAGCAGGGAGGGAGAATAGAGGTCACCTATCCCATTCCCAGGCCCTGTGGTTTAGGATGTGTAGGAAAGGGCTCGTACCTGAGAGGGTTCTGGGGAAAGAAGTGCCCATAAGAGAGAGCCAGGTTTTGTAGATTAAGATTCAAAGGGAGTACTCAAAGAAAAAGTGGAGGTTATAGGATATTTTGCTAATAACTAGTCTTGGATTTCAGAGGAAACAGTGGGAGGGTTTTAGTGTCTGGGAAGGGGCCGGGGAGAGAGGAGAGCATGCAGCCAATAATTAAACCAAAGCAGGTATAGGCAAACTTCCCTAATTGGAAATGTGAATAGGTAGTTCACAAAATTACACATTCCCACACATCTCCAGATAATGTGACAAAAACTAGACTTTTCTGGCCTCTTTTGAAATTGCATCAGGGAAATTACTTTGGGGGAATCTCTGAAAGAATAGTAAATAGCTTATTTCCTTGAATATTCTTTGATTTGCCCACTTTTGTATCTTATTGCAAACCACAATTGCTGCTTGTAGGACAAATATATTTCCTATCCATGTAAATACCATATACTTATATGTATAGCCCATTAACCTAGCCTTAGGATACATTTTCAAACCTAGATATTGAAAATATATTGAGTACTTATAATGCCCAGCCTTTGTGAGTTCTTTACATGTATGTTGTTTAATCCTCACAACATTTCTGTGAGATAGTCACTCCTAGGCTCTTTTATATTTTTTACGAATAAGGAAACAGGTTAAAAGTCTCCAAGGGGCAAGCCCAGGCTCTAACCGTGCTACACTCTGCCAGAATCACACAGAACACTATTAGCTAGGAGTCACTGATGCAGTTTGCCTTTCTAACAGTTGTCCACATCTGTTCTGATTATCAACTTGAGAATTTAACAAAAAGGAACCTCTGGTTTATCCAAATGAAGATGTGGGATGCCACATAATTTCTTACAAATCAGTAGCAAATCCCATGAAACAGAACAGATTTAGGTGATTTCCTTGCTTACTCTGTTTCTAATACATATTTGAACTAGAAGTTAGAATGGATATAATTTCTACACTTCTTACAGCTGTACGAATATACTTTGAAAATATAATCAGGGAGAGAAGTAGGTCATGTGTGGGGATGTGTGGACATGGGAGAAAAGGCAGGGCAAAAGGAGGAGGGGAGGAGGAGGGTACCACCATCTGTTTTATCTTTGTTCCCCTCCTCCTCTTTCATTTCTCCTTGGAATGAAAGATTGGGAGGTATTGAGGTGAATACTAATAAATATCAATCGGTAAGGTACCCTGTGGCGATCCAAAGAATAAGCCCTC